TATCGACTTTTATCCACCTAGTTGTGAAGGCCAAACACCTTGATTCACATATGTAACCCATAAGTTAGTCTAAACATCAGACCCTCTCCATTCACTATTTTTTTTAAAAGATTTATTTTTTTATTATTTTTTTTATTGGGAAGGTGGATATACAGAGAGGAGAGACAGAGAGGAAGATCTTCCATCCGATGATTCACTCCCCAAGTGAGCGCAACGGCTGATGCTATGCCGGTCCGAAGCCAGGAGACTCTTCCGGGCCGAAGCCAGGACTCTTCCGGGTCTCCCACACGGGCACAGGTTCCCAAAGCCTTGGGCTGTCCTCAACTGCTTTCCCGGGCCACAGGCAGGGAGCTGGATGGGAAGCGGGCCGCCGGGATAGAACCGGCGCCCATATGGGATCCTGGGCGTGCAAGGCGAGGACCTTAACCACTGCGCCACTGTGCCGGGCCCCATTCACTATTTTTTTAAAGGTTTTTTTGTTTTTTAATTGGAAAGGTGGATCAGATTTACAAAGAGAAAGAGAGATATAAAGATGTTCTATCCACTGGTTTACTCCTCAAATGGCCACAGCAGCTGGGGCTGAGCTGGTCTAAAACCAGGAGCTTCTTTTGGGTGTCCCATGTAGATGGAGGGTCCCAAAGCACTGGGCCGTCCTCGACTGCTTTCCCAGGTCACAAGCAGGGAGTTGGATGGGAAGTGGAGCAGCCAGAACAAAAATCAGTGCCCGCAAGGGGTCCAGGCACATTAAGATGGTTAGCTTGTTGAGCCACAGTGCTGCCGCCTGCCCCTAATAATGACCAGTTCAAAGGAGCAGCATCTTTCTCCTCGATTGCTGTGGGCAGCTTCCTGCCTGAGCTTCCTGCTTCTGTTCCAGGCCCCTGCAGTTCATCTTCCTCTCTGCAGCTATATATTTAGTATTTTTAAAGCATAAATCATTCCTCTCCTTTTTATAAAATCCTGATGATAAAATCTGGACTTTTCACAATGACCTGCAAGTCTTCCACGATCTGGCCCCTGCTCACACTGACTGCGTCTCTGTGCTAGTCACATTGACCTTTTCTGCCATGAAACTGCCTGTCACGTGCCGTCTGTCCTTGCTGGGGTTTTTCTGCCTGGCTTTTTCAAAGCCTTGATCTCTATGTAGTTGTTTCCACTAGGGCTTCGACTCAGTTCTGTTCTCATCTGAAAGGTCTTCACTAGCCAAAGCAGCCCCCCGGTTGCTTTCCACTGTAACACCCTGTTTTCTCCACATTACTTATGGTTTCGTAAATTATACTTAACAGGCTGGGGTTGAGCTAGTGAAGATGCCCACATCTCAGAATGTCTGGGTTTAATTCTGAGATCTGGACTCTGCTTCAGCTTCCTGCTAACACAGACCCCAAAAGGCAGTGGGGGATGGCTGAGGAGGCTGACTTCCGTCGAGTTCCTGTCCTCCAACTGCAGCCCAGGGTGGTTGTGAGCACTGAGGGAGTGGCCAGTGAATGAGAGCTCCAGCTCTATGTCTTTTACAAGAATTTTTTGGTTTCTGTTTGAAATTCAGACAGAGAAAGAGCAACAGAGTGATCTTCCATTGGTTGTTCGACTGCAAATGCCCATGACAGCCAGACCTGGGCCAGGCCAGAAACCCCTACCAGACCCCCGCGCTGGGGGCAGGGCCGCCGCTCTTGACCTGTGCACCCTCTGTGGCCGCCCAGGTGGGTTAGCAGGAAATCAGAGTGGAAGGCAGAGGCAAGACTCCATATCAACACTCTCCAGTACACAGTGTGGGTGTCCTTTTGTTGCTCTCCTCCCTCCTTCCCTCCATCCCCACTTCTCTTTCTTTCTTTTTTTTTTTCTTTCTCTCTTTCCTTTTTTTTTTTTTTGGAAAGTTAGATATACACAAAGGAGGAGAGACAAAGAGGAAGACCTTACGTCCACTGATTCACTCCCCAAGAGACTGCAACAGCCGGTCCTATGCCATTCGAAGCCCGTAGTCCGGAGACTCTTCCGGATGTCCCACACAGGTGCAGGGTCCCAAAGCCTTGGGCCGTCTTTGACTGCGTTCCCAGGCCACAAGCAGGGAGCTGAATGGGAAGCGGGGCTGCCAGGATACAAATCAGCACCCGTATGGGATCCTCATGGATCCTGATGGTGAGGAGTTTGGCCGCTAGGCTACCGCACTGGGCCCTTTCTCTTTTTTTCTCTTTCTCTTCCTTCCTATCTTTTTTTTTTTAATATTTATGTATTTTTTATTGAAAAGGTGGATATAGAGAGGAGAGACAGAGAGGAAGATCTGTCCGATGATTCACTTACCAAGCAGCTGCAATGGCTGGTGCTGAGACAGTCCGAAGCCAGGAGCCTCCTCCAGGTCCCTTCCTTTCTTTCTGTTATTTAAAAGTCTGAGATGTGGGCCTGGCACAATAACGTAGTGGTTGAAGTCCTCGCCTTGCACGCCTGGATCCCATATGGTCTCCAGTTATAATGCAGGCAGCCCCGCTTCCCATCCAGCTCCCTGCCTGTGGCCTGGGAAAGCAGTCGAGGACGGCCCAAAGCTTTGGGACCCTGCACCCATGTGGGAGACCTGGAGGAAGTTCCTTGCTCCTGGCTTTGGACTGGCCATTGTAGTCACTTGGGGAGTGAATCATCAGATGGAAGATCTCCTCTCTGTCTCTCCTCCTCTCTGTATATCTGCCTTTGCAATAAAAATAAATCTTTTTTTAAAAAAAGTCTGAGTTGCAGATAGTGAGGGACATAGAGAGAACTTCCATCTATTGGTTCATTCCTCAAATAGCTGCAACAGTGAGAGCAGGGCTGGTCTGAACCCAGGAGCAGAAAGTTCCTCCAGGTGCAGAGATCCAGGGCGTTGGGCCATCATCCACTGCTTTCCCAGGCCATCACCATGTGTTTGGATTGGATGTGGAGTGGGTGGAACTCAAGCCTGCATTCATATGGGGTGGTGATGCCACAGGTTGAGGATTAGCCCACTATGCCACCCCTACACACTTTTTTTTTGAGGGGGGAGTTCCAAGTTCATAATACCTGGCAGTTGGACCTCATTTTTTTAAATTCATTTTTATTTTAATATTTATTACAAATGTGAGGGAGTTACAGGCCCTTGTGGGCCTCTGGAGAGGTCTGGGGCTTGGGGGAAAGTAGGTGAGATAATGTTGCTATTTTCCTTCCTATGTCCATGGGGTGGGAGAGAAGGGGCAACAAAGGGGCTACTCCTTGCTGTCCACTGCTGCCCACTGCCGCCCACTGCTGTCCACTGCCGTCCACTGCTGTCCACTGCTGTCCGCTGCTGTCCACTGCCGTCCACTGCTGTCCACTGCTGTCCACTGCCTGGGGACTGAAGACAGAGTGTGGTTTGATGTTGACTCTGAGGCCCGGGTCAGAAGAGTGTTTCCAGGTTGTGCATTTCAATAACCCAGAGGTGAGAAATTCTTTCTAACTCCTATAGGCTGTCTGTATCTAATTAGTGTGCCCACAGACCTGGGCACTTGTTACAATAGAGCTTGGCCTGGAGTGTTGTTCAACCTGTCCTTTCCTTCCTTGATGAGGTACTCTAAGTTTTCTGTTGGTTTAGATGAGCCGGCTGTCTTGTCTTTCATGATCCTCTGGGCGTGCTTTCCATTTTTCTTCTTTTTTTAAAGATTTATTTTTTATTGCAAAGTCAGATATACAGAGAGAAGGAGAGATAGAGAGGAAGATCTTCTGTCCGATGATTCACTCCCAAGTGACCGCAACTGCTGGTGCTGTGTTGATCCAAAGCCAGGAGCCAGGAACTCCCTCTAGGTCTCCCATGTAGGTGCAGGGTCCCAAGGTTTTGGGCCGTCCTTGACTGCTTTCCCAGGCCTCAGGCAGGGAGCTGGATGGGAAGTGGAGCTGCCTTGATTAGAACCAGCGTCCATATGGGATCCAGGCAAGTTCAAGGTGAAGACTTTAGCAGCTAGGCCACCGTGCCAGGCCCATGCTCTCCATTCTTGCATAAAAATCAACCACTGAGGTGGCCCAGTCCTGAGACTTATGCTCCAGAGTCAGACCACATGCCTTTCTGGTTTTACCTTGAGGCCAGGTCTTTAAGGGTTTGATTGGGGAGCCACCAAGAAACCTCCCCTTGGAGGTCTTCACAGCTTGTTGTGTGCACAGGCTGGTGTAGGGTCAGGGTCACGCTGCCCCTGCGCCAATCCACACATGTACCTGTGGGTGCAGCTGGGGGTGCTATAGCCCAGCCCAGCCCAGCCTGCCCCTGGCACAGCTCTTTTTGCATAGTGGCAGGAGCTGTGGCCTAATCAGGGCGACACCGAGGAAACCCTACCTGGCCTGTCCCCTGCTTTGGTGCTTGAGCATGCAGGCAGGTGCTGCAGCCTAGCCTGGCCCGGTCCACCCCCAACCCCAGCTCTCATACTCATAGGCCGGTGCTGCAACCTAGCCCCTCAGGGCATCCCCCAGGATCCCGTAACAGGCCTGCCCCCAACGCTGGTTCTCACAGGTGCCAGCACATGCAGCGACTCAGACTGGCTTAGCCCACCCACAGCCCCAGTACCTGACATTCCTTGACACTCTCTAGAGGTTGCTGCTGCCTAGCCTGGCTCAGCCCAACCCCAGCACCAGCTTTCATGTATAGTCAGGGGTGCTGCGGCTTAATTGGGGCAGCACCAAAGAACCCCTACCAACCCCGTCTCCATCTGCTGGGGGTTGCTGTGACCTAGCCGTGGCTGGTCCACTCTCAGTCCCAGGTTTTGCGCATGCCAGCAGTGCTTTGGTCTGCACACCTTTAATGTAAGCTGTTCAGACAAGGAATCCTGTCTCTTCGTGGGTCATTGCCCAGAGCAGCGCCTGCAGCACTGTGGGCTCTCAGGTGTGTGCTGGCTGCTTTGCTGTTAGTCTTGTCTCCTAGCATTCTCTTGCCCTTTGTGTGTTCTGGTTTGCCGTAGTTCTGTGTGTTGGAAGTGCCACACTCTTCTGCTAAGGAAGCCTGCACCATCTTAGACCCCACCCTCCCCTGGCTTGTACATAATCCTTCAGGAATGAGTCCCTTAAAGTAGGCTTCCCTGACTCCTACCTGAGATTTCTTTGTAACATGTCATATCACCGCATGTTTCTTTCATAGCAGTCATCACTCAAGCTGTTTGTAAGCTCTGTGCAAGCAAGACTGTGAGTCGGTACTGTTCCTGGCTGTGTCGCCTCACTGAGTTTGTGGCACACACTGAGGAGTCAGGTATTTATAAACTGAAAGAACAAATGTTGGATGAAGACAAAATTGAAAGGATCAAACCAGGTTGAAAAAAATGCAAGAGAGCAGTTAGCACAGAGTGTAAGTCAGTTGAATTTTTCTTACCTTCTTGAAGTGGAAGTCTTGGATCCTGTAGGATAGCAGGCTTGTAAGCATTGCATTAGTCTAAGGTGCGATGTAAATACCAACATCATAAACTAAAGGCTATTCGTCAGATCCCTGTGGTCTTATAATTATCTGATTCGGTTATTTTAGAGCAATGCTGAGGGGTTAAAATGTGAAGAATTTAGGTGAAAAGTAAATCTAGGTCAGCTTGTGAAGAAGCCATCGTCCTGAAGTTTGCACTCAGCTGAACTACTTTGCTGTAGTAATGCATCTGAGTTTCAGTGTTGCCTTTGATGCGTGACCTTGGCCAGATCACATTATCTGCCAATGGCAGGTATATCTTTTTAACTGAGTGAATACAATTCTTAATCTCCCCAGTATGTCACCAAAATTGAATTAAAGTTAAAAAATGCTTCAAATTTCCTGAGTGAAATGTGTTCTCTTAATAGTTGAAGTAATTTCATTTTTTATTATTAATTTCTTCAGAGCATACCATTGTTTGCTGCCAAGAACAAAGCTGTGTGCTTGGAAGCCTTTTGTCCACACTTGTGTCTTCTGTCACTAGGACCCCTGAGATATGTACATCAGAGACTTGGGGTACACAGCTCACAATTATAAATGGTGTCCCCTTTCTCGGTGCCTAAGGATATATATTCTCTCCATCATTTGCCCTTGTGAAACCACAGGCACTTTTTCTTTTTCAAATCTACTTCCCCACATGTACTGTTTCAGGATGGCTCACCCAGTGGTGGAACCAAAAACCCACGTCTTTAACTGCCAGTTTTATGTCCAACTGCTTTTTGGGTTCCTGAGGTTGGAAGGATTTTTAGAATGCTGCAGTGTGAGTTCAGTGTCATCTGATTGCTGGTAAATAGCATGAGCTTCGCGTCACAAGCCATCCCTACTGAACAGGGTAGTAAGATGAGAAACTGTTGCTTTCTCAGAGTGAAGAGCATAGTTCTACACCTGTTGACCAAAGGTGGTTTCTCATTAGATCTTAGGACAGTGAGGGAAGACACAGAAGATGCCCCAAGGTGAACAAGACAGCTTTCTGTTTTACTGAGTAGTCTACAACGGCCTTTTGATTTTGGTTCAGGGTGTCCTGAGAGGTTTTAATTCCCCTCTCCCCATTACCCCACAAGCAAAACAGAATCTGTCACACTTCCAAGGACAAAATATTCTTGCACAAATACCAATAATATATATTTTTCAAAATTTATTAATTTTTGTTGGAAAGACAGATATAGAAAGAGGAGGAAAGACAGAGAAGAAGATCTTCCATCCGATGATTCACTCCCCAAGTAACTCCCCAAGCCTCCTCTGGGCCTCCCACACAGGTACAGGGTCCCAAGGCTTTGGGCCATCCTCAACTGCGTTCCCAGGCCACAAGCAGGGAGCTGGAAGGGAAGTAAAGTTGCCAGGATTAGAACCAGCGCCCATATGGGATCCTGGGGCGTTCAAGGCGAGGACTTTAGCCACTAGGCCACTGTGCCAGGCCCAATAGCAAATTTTAAAGGTTATGTCTCACCCAAAAGGGTGGGCAGAGACTTAGGAGAAAATAGAGTGGCACTGTAAGTGTAAGAGTATCCTGAATTGTCTTCAGTCATCAGTCTCTTCCTGTCACGTATCAGAATATTTTTAATTAATTAATTAATTATTGGAAAGGCAGGTATACAGAGAGGAGGAAAGACAGAGAGGAAGATCTTCCATCCTATGTTTCACTCCCCAAGTGGCTGCAACAACTGGAGCTGAACCAATCCAAAGCCAGGAACTTCTTCCATGCAGCTGCAGGGTCCCAACGCTTTGGGCTGTCCTCAACTGCTTTCCAAGGCCACAGGCAGGGAGCTGGATGGGATTTGGGGCTGTCAGGATTAGAACTGGTGCCCTTATGGGATCTCGATGCGTTCAAGGTAAGGACTTCAGCCGCTACACTATCGCACCGGGCCCAGAATATTTTCTTCAAAAGAAAATGACTCCTTTGGAGTCAGCACAATGGTTCAATTGGCTAATCCTTCACTTGCAAGCATCCACATCCCGTATGGGTGCTGATTTGTGTCCTAGCTACTCCACCTCCCATTCAGCTTCATGCTTATGGTATGGGAAAGCAGCAAAGGATGACCCAAAGCCTTGAGACCCTGCACTCATGTGGGAGACCAGAGGAAGCTCCTGGCTCCTGGTTCCAGCATGGCCCAGCTCAGCTCCAGCCACTGTGGCCAATTGTGGAGTGAACTAGCACATGGAAGATCCTTCTCTCTGTCTTGTCTTCTATCTGTGAATCTGCTTTTCCAATAAAAACAAGCCTTTAAAAAATGCAGACCCTCTAGCTCCACCCTGAAGCTGTCATCTTGAATCGGGAGAGCCCAGGAATCTGTACTTTGGAAAAAGCAATTTCCTTATTGGGTAGCATTGGTCCAGCACTCCACTAAATAAAACATGCTCTCCAGACAGTCCTTCAGGGTGAGGAGGCAGAATCATTCCTTCTGAAAATACAGTTTGGAGCCCACTGTAAAAATGACCCTTTATACTCCATTTCGTAATTCTTTTTTATTTTTCACACTCCATATTATAATTCTAAGAATCCTCACTCAGAAGAACTTGCATTTTGATCGGATATTTTTGTACCCAGAGTGAGTTTGCTCTGAGTCGCCATGGTTATGGCTTACTGACTGACAGGATGGTGAGTTACAGTGGAATCCATGGGAGCAGGACTCAACAGTCTCAGAGGGTGAAGCCTGGTTCCGTTCCTGACTCTGTGGCTTTGTGGAAACCGTTTCCTCCTTTGGTGGACTTCTCGTTGGAAAGGCAGGCTTTTGGAGCGTGTGGACCGGCTTCAGCACAGGTGGACGGGCCTCGGCGACCTGCCAAGGAGAAGCTCGCTATCGGTCCTAGTCTCAATTCCAAAACACGGACGGTGGACTCATAGTGTCAGTGAGATTTCCCTGTTTTGCTGCCACACACTCATCAGTGGTCAGAGAGCCTGTTGTCAGATGAGGGCTGCACAGTAGGTGCGTTTTACATGAATGTTCCTGGAAGCATCTGGAAAAGTCTAACGTCAGTCCCTATGTGTCCTTTAAATCTAATTCCCAGATATTCCCAAGGAGAGGTTCTTGGTTGGAATTTGTCAGGTTCTGCATTGAGATGAAAGCTAATTGGTCTCAGGTTCTGGGATTTACTTTTCTTGGGATGCATTAAGAGGAGAATTCTTCAAATCTATCATAATAGCTGATGTTTATGTAACACTCTGGAGTTCATGAAGTGCAGCCTGTAACATTATCTCATTCAGTCTCTCAGCAGCTCAGGGCGGGGAGGTGAAATCCCAGTCTGTGGAAGCAGAAACTAAGAAACGAGGAATCCCGTGCTCCGGGCGCAGTGACGTAGAGGCGAAAGAGAGCTCAAATCTTGATCCTTCAGTTTCTAATACTACATCTCTAGCACTAATCCATACTGCCTGTCGCTGTTCTTCCTCTGTTTTGAAACCTTCATGATTTGTGGCCACCTGAAAAATCGGGCCGAGCCTGACCCTTCCTCTGCAAGCTCCCATCAACTCAGTCATAGTTACTGGGCCCTAGTATCACCATGGCTACCGTAGTCAGTGTTGGAAAACAACCCTGTGAAACCTCCGAACCACTTGTGCTAGGGTTCTTTTGAATTATGCTGTCTAATCCTTATTTTCAAATGAGATAATTAGCATGTGGCATTTGTTTCTGAAGCGGGCAGCCAGCAATGAGCAGGAACAGGCCCCAGCAAGAAGAGGGCTGTTTTTCTTCTTTCAGAGAGCCAGCTGTGGTGCAGCTCATGACATTTCCTCTCCGGATTGTCATTTCCAGCCAGTGTCCTTCATTTCCTTTGCTCTGATGCCCTCAGACTTTGGCCTGCAGGCCCACGCTGCCTCTCAGAACGCTCGGAGTAACTGGAATGGAACCGAAGTCTTTCTCACCAAGTGGGCTCTCTGCCTGATGGGAAAAGTCATCTGGCCCCCAGCTCCAGCCAAGCTAGCCTGGGTTCCTGCCATGCCTTGGGCATGGGGCATCAGCACATTTTTCTCAGAATATGAACAGTATTTCCTTTCCAGTAAGTCTGAAATTGGCCAAAAAAAAAATTGCTTCTTTTTCATTTGAAACTGCATGTCTAGTATAAACAGTCCCCAGGCTCTGGCTCCAGCCTCCGGTCCTTCTAATTCCAAGCAGCCGGGATCAGACAGGCTCTTTCCTTCCTGGCAGCCCCAGACTTGAACTTTGGAAATTGTGGAAAGCTTTACACTTTGGGCCCACAGAGCTCCGATTCCACCATTCAGGAGTCTTCCCTGTTAAGTAGAAATGGCCTTGGGATAAGACAGAGGAATGCATAATGAAAATAGTCTTCTCAGTGCTATGGCATTTTATCCCTTTTAAAGTGATTTGAGGGGGGGGGTTGTTGTTTATTAACTTGATTTTCCCCCTTTCTCATAACCTGAGGAATCAGGCTGGCAGGGAGGTTGAGAGTATCAAGTCTGGATCTGCCTGGCTTCTGTTGGAATCCTGACTCCATCAGTCATAGCTGTGGGCAGGTTATTTCATCTCACTGTACCTCCATTTCCTCTTCTTTCATATTTAGGCCATTCATGCACTTGTGAAGATTTAGAGAGCAGGACACACTTATCACTGTTGTTAGTTGTTATTGCACAAATAAGAAACCCAAAGCTCAGAGAGATGAGTGACATTAGACCTAAGATCAAACCCAGATTCTTCTTAGGTGCTGCCTGTCTCGTATGCTCCGTGTCAGCTGCCTCTCGGATCAGGACCTCATGTTAGATAAAGGCAACTTTGATGGTCAGCACCTCTGGGCCTCTCTCTCTCAAGTGCTGCTTCGGGTCCCGTCTGAAGAGACAGAGTGCAGGGTTATTATCTGCAATTATGAACAGAAAGTGTGGTTCTTCCCTCTCCATGCACGCTGAATGCCCTCCTGCTAGAGAAACGCACCTTTGGGTTTCATCTCTCCCCTTGGCCAGCTTCTCCTCAGAAAGGGCTTCAAGTGGGCAGAAAATCCAGATAAAAGGAAACTTAGTAAGCGGTAGGCATGTGGTGGGCTCCTGGGGAACACCGGGAGTCCCACAAGTCCTACGGAGAGGGGAAGATGGCCTGTCCTTGGCACCACTGGGAGATATCAATGTGCATCTTTATCGGCTGTGGCAGAAGCTGTGTAATCCCTTAACTTTAGTTAAAATTAATAGGAGAGATCTCATCAATGTACTGCCTCTAATTGGTACACCTTTTGCATTCTCTCATGATTATTTTTTGAAGATTTATTTATTTTTGTTGTAAAGTCAGATATACAGAGAGAAGGAGAGACAGGGAGGAAGATCTTCTGTCCGATGATTTCACTCCCCAAGTTACCGCAAAGGCTGGAGCTGAGCTGATCTGAAGTCAGGAGCCTAGAGCCTCTTACAGGTCTCCCATGTAGGCACAGGGTCCCAAGGCTTTAAACCGTCCTTGACTGATTTCTCAGGCTACCAGCAGGGAGCTGGATGGGAAGTGGGGCCGCTGGGATTAGTCCCATCACCCATATGGGATCTTGGCGCATGCAATGCTAGGACTTTAACCACTAGGCTACCACGCTGGTCTCTTCTCTCAAGATTTAACTTGAGCCCTCTTCACTTCCCCCTGGGTTCCAGGTGAAGCAGGAGAGACATTTCATTCCAGCAGAGATCCTGTGTGTCATAGGGCGGGTGTTAGCATCATTGTCCTCTGGAATAGTGGTTTATCCAAGGGCATAACATAAACAGCAAAACTTGGGCCTCAGTGCAGTAGCCTAGTGGCTAAAGTCCTTGCCTTACCAGTGTTAGCATCCCATATGGGTGCTGGTTTGTATTCCGGTTGCTTCACGATAGCATAGTGGTTAAAGTCCTTGCCTTGAATGCGCTGAGATCCCATATGGGCGCCAGTTCCAATCCCAGTGGCCCTGCTACCTATTGAGCTCCCTGCTTGTAGCCTGGGAAAGCAGTCAAGATTGGCCCAAAGCTTAGGGACTCTGCCCACTTGGGAGACCCGGAAGAAGCTCCTGGCTCCTGGCTTTGGATCAGCTCAGCTCTAGCCGTTGCGGCTGCTTGGGGAGTGAACCATCAGATGGAAGATCTTCCTCTCTGTCTGTCCTCCTCTCTGTATGTCTGACTTTACAACAAATGAAAATAAATAAAGCTTTTAATATAAAAAACAAGAATGGAGGGTGTACCACATGCCATGTGTGTCTGGCAGATCAGGGAAGGACCAGCCATTCACAGCAGAGGTAGAGCTGGTACATGAGCAGGGCTGCTGGTGCGGGGTGCTGGTGCTGGGCATCTTACCCATGGAGAGACACTGCACATTAGGCAGGCTCCCTCTCCTATGCATAAAGCCAGCTTTAGCTTGTTGGTAGACATATAACCTTAGTAATTCTTGAATGTTTCTGCTTTATTTAGGCTGTCATCTGGAAGCAATGGGTTTAAAACCCTTAACCTACCCATTTCCAGAGACGAGATTTCTTCATGTGGGTCCCAGTGTGTATAAATTCAAAATCAGATATGGAAACAGTATCAGGTAACTTAATTTATTGTTTAAATTATCTAGAGCAGAGCTGGCACCATGTATAGTAGGCTAAGCTTCCACCTTTGGCACTGGCATCCCATGTGGGCACCCATTCGAGTCCCAGTTACTTCATTTCTGATCCAACTCCGAGCTTATCACCCGGGGGAACAGCAGAGGATGGTTCAAGTCCTTCAGGCCCTACCCCCATGCAAGAGACCTGGAGGAGGCTCCTGGCTCCTGGCTTTGGCTCAGTTCATCTCTGGCCATTGAGACCATTTGAAGAGCAACCCAGCAAATGGAAGATCTTTCTGTCTCTCCTCTCTGTAACTCTACCTTACACATAAAAATATAATAAATCTTTAAAAACAAAAGAATTTATTTGGGGCTGACACCATTGTATAGTAGATTAAACCACCATCTGTAGTGCCATTTGGAGTCCTGACAGCTCTACTTCTAATCCAGCCTCCTGTTAATGGCCTGGAAAGCAATGGGAGATGGTTTAAGTCTTTGGGATCCTGTACCTATATGGAGATCCTAAAGAAGCTTCTGGCTCCTGGCTTCAGATCATCTCAGCTCTAGCCATTTGAAGAGTGAACCAGCAAATGTAAGATCTTTCCTTCTGTCTCTGCTTCTCTATGTAAATCTGCCTTTCCAATAAAAATAAACACATCTTTAAAAGACAGAATTGACCTGAGAAAGAAGAAAATAGAGACACAGAGAAAGCTTCTATTCACTGACTAACTCTTCAAATGCCTCTGGTAGCTAGGACCAGGCCAGGGTAAGAGCCAGGAGCTTGGAGCTCAGTGCATGTCTCCCATATAATTGGCAAAACCCAGCTACTTGAACCATTGTGTGCTGCTGCTCAGGGCCAGCGAGAAGTTGGAGGTGGAGCTGGACTTGGCCGCCTGTCAGTCTGCAGCATGAGGAGACTGCCTCTGTAAGCACTTAATGTAGTCCCTCCATCACACCTTCTCTGCTGAAGTAGCACCTGCTTGGATTCTCTCTCTAAAGGTTTTATATTAAGTGTATTTATCTTTCATCCAAGTTTCTAAACTGGAAACACCAGGTCAAGTGACAGAAGAAGAGAGGTGAAGAGAGAAAGAGACCTTCCTCTCACTGGCTCACTCCCCAGATGGCCACAAGGACTGGAGCTAAGCCAATCCGAAGCCAGGAACCAGGAGCCAGGAGCTTCCCCCAGGGTGCGGGGTCCCAAGGCTTTGGGTCATCTTGTGCTGCCTTCTCAGGCCACAAGCAGGAAGCTGGATGGGAAGTGGAGCAGCTGAGACATGTACTGGCACCCATATGGGATGTTGGCACTTAGAGTTTGAGCCAATTGAGCCATTGCTCCTGCTCCTGTTGTATATTCTTTTAAAACATGTATGTATCTATTTGTAAGGCAAAGTGACAGATGCAACAAAGAAAAAAAAATCTTTCATCTGTTAGTTCATTCCTCAAATGTCTATGTTAGCCAAAGCCAAGATCCAGGAACTCCATGCCAGTCTGCCCTAAGAGTGGCAGGATCCCAAGTATTTGGGCTTCCTATGGTCGTTAGGAAGAGGGGCAACCAGAATGAACATGCCCTTGGATAAGGCACTTGTATATCCTAAGAGGTGACTTACCCTGCCGTCCCACAATATCTACCCTGTTTCATGTTTTTTTGACTGCAATTTTAAAATATAATCATTTAGTAATACTATGCCCAGGAAATGTAAACATGCTTTTATTACAAATATTTTCCCCTTACCCTATACAAAAAGCAGCTCAAGTGAACCAGAGATTTAAATATAGGACTTGAAATCATGAAACTGCTTCAAGAAAACCTAGAAAGCATTTCAAGACACTGCATGGGCAAGCAAGAAAAGCAGAGACAGTTGGGGCCATATAGTCCTACTAGGCTGCCACTCCAGTTTCATGCAGCTTGATAGGATTGTGCTAAGGCATCAATGATTTTGCACACCCATGCTTCTGTGCAAGTGGGTACACGTTAACGCAATGAAAAAGGCAAATCACACTTTAGTACCATTGATGTTGAAGACTCATGATAAGGGACTCATGATAAGAGCTCCTAGCCGATTTCCAAATGACACTTTCGATGGAAGTGCTCCATGACATTCTTAGCCATCACGGGGAGAATCTCAGGTTTTGTCAGGTCACTCGCAAAGACATATCAGCCCGGCCCTGTCCCAGGGCTCTGCGCATGCCGCCTGACCACTGGGGTCAGCTTACAGAACCGTTGCTTCCATCAGATTCCCGTCACTCCTGGAAGTGTCACTCATGCTCTCCTCTCCATTCCGAGTTTTCCAGCTGCTTACGTGTCTCTGGTCTTTCCCTTCTAGAGGCACAGTGACAGACGACAAGGACGGCGTCCCGCAGGAGCTGGAGGTGGGCAGCGAGACGGACCGCTTCGGGGAAAGTTACTGCCGCAGGCGCAGATGCATCCGTGTTCAGGCTCCAGTCATTTCCTACAAACAGACTCACACCTTCCTCTTGATACCTTGGCGGCTCCCCACCACATTTCCTCGCCAGGGACATTTAAAACCCTTATCCTTCCCAGTTCTAGTTGAAGTGTCAGCCTCTTGGAAGCTAGGAGTGTAGTGTTCCCTGTAGGATTCCCAGCCAGCAACAGGCGGCTCATGGCTCTGTTGTGGCAGCTGGCATTAGCAAAGTTTCCGGAGGACTGGTGCCTTCCAGGGGGCCCTGGGCAGCTTCACCCTTCCAACCACTGCCTGGTACTTGACGTTCAGGAAACGCCACTGTAAATACACAGCCAAGGCTGCCGAGCCTTCCTTTTATTTAGAAACATTTGCAGTTGCTCTAGTCCACTCCACTTTCATTCCCTGTGTACCCAGATCTAGTTTAAGTTCTGCTGCAGAAAGAAGACTAAGCAGTAAAAAGTAAATTGGTGAAAGTATTAGACATGGAGTTGGAGTTCTGGGGGCTGGTCCCACGTGCAGGCTTAGGCATGAATGACCCTTGGCAAATCATTTATCTGCCTGGGTCTTAATTGTCTGGTGTAAAATGAGTTTAAACTACAGGCTGAGTAGGTTGAAATTTATAAGCCTTTTTAAATGTTGGAATATTTGCATATGCATAATAAGATATCTTGGGGACGGGATCCAAGTCTAAACGTGAAATTAGTTTATGTCTCATTCTTGCCTTACACACATAGGCTGCGGTAACTTTATACTGTAAAACATTTTATTTGAAAGGCAGAGTTACAGAGAGGGGAGAGAAAGACCCTCAATCTGCTGCTTCACTTCCTAAATGGTCACAATAGCCAGAGCCGAGCTGACCAAAGCCAGGAGCCAGGAGCCTCTTCGGGGTCTCCCACACGGGTGCGGGTTCCCAAGGACTTGAGCCTCCCAGGCCACAAGCAGGGGGCTGGATGAGAAGTAGAACAGCCGGGACCAAACCTGTGCCTGTATGGGATGCCTGCTTCACCTCGGTGCTGGCCACTCAACATCTGTGTATTGACTACAACCCATCATGTAAAGTCAGTTGTAGAATTTTCTACCTGTGACATGTCACTGTGGAGAGTTCTGGATTTGGGAGCATTTTGGCTTTTGGAATTTCAGATTGGGAATGCTGGGCCTGTGACACATGCTCCTCTGACTGTTCAGCCCATTTACTATTCAGTAAATGCCCATGCCCATGGCATTTACTGAGACATAGGGCTCCTCTTTCAAAGCACTAGAACACCTGTAAGTACACCAACACACACACCTGTGTAAAGCTTTGAGTTCTGTCCTGAAAGGGACCTGTGGCTCTCCAGCGAAGTATTGAAAGGCAGAGTAGGTCCCGCCGGGCCTCAAGGACAATGTAAGTTACCAGTGATCTGACCTGACACAATGACAACGCTTGCATGTTGCATGTATTCTGTGAGCTCCTTCAGTTCACGGGGGCGGGAGGAAGCTCCAGGCAGCTGGCAGAGTGAGGGCAGCATGGCTTTGGGAATCAGCCAGGCTGGGTTTGAGTTCCGTTCCTGCCATTCGTAGTGTGACTTTGGGCAGACTACCCCGCTCCCTGCGGCTGCCTTCTCCTTGTCATGGGTTCCTAGCTAATGCCTGTCTTGAGGATTGTGGGGGATGTAGAAGTAGGAACGTGCAGTGCCTGCCACACAGGAGCTCAGTACAATGGAAGCTGTCAAGCATTTACCTATGCCATACATCACATCAAAGTTTCCAGAGTGTTAGAAGATAAATAAGATCCATTTGCTACCTATTATGAGCCAAAACATGAGGAAAACTAGACTTGGAAAGATGAAGCAACAAACCTGGAATTGAAAGTTAGATTTTTAAAAAAAAAATGTTTACTATAGAAGTGCAGTAGTCTTCTCTCTCTCTCTCTCTCTCTCTCTCTCTCCCCCCCCCCCTTAATTTTAAATGTTTACATAGTTGATCAGGGTGGGAAGGATCTAGGATTAGGGAGAAATCGGGGGTGATCATTATTTCCAAGCTTTCTATTTCTTCTTCCCATTTCTGGGGGAGGAGAGGGATGGGGGATAGGCCATTCCCAGCCTCCCAACCATCCCAGTACCCCAGGATGGGGATGGGCGACCAACCAGGATCACAATGGCGCATGTTCTGAAGGTTCTGCCCAGGTGGATGCAATAGTTGCAAAATGCTGTTGATCTCGCTGATCTATGGATGAGGAATCCCTTCCAATGTCTTTTAATAATGTCAAAATGTTTAATTAGTATAGAGTAATAGGCATAGGAAATTAGAGACAAATCAGTTCAGAATTAAAGAGACTAGAAGAAAAAGTTTAAGCAAAGGTAAAATCACTATACATCAATATCAACACCATTTACTCATTCAGTGCTGATGTATGGGGGAGCTGTTATGGGTCACCTGGGCATCACGGAAGGTTGCCAAGATCAGTCGGATGTCCCTTGTGCTGCCAGGAGATCTCCCGACGAGATGAAGTCATGTGTGTTGGATGTGGTAAAGGACCCAGGCTTACTGTGAAGTTTGAGACTAAATGTTGATCACATTTTGGGGAGTCAGGGAAAGCTTTCTGGAGGAGCTTTCAACCTAAAGGACAGGCATGATGTGGCATGTACTGATGGACGGGGTGTTTCCAGCAGGGAATGCAACGGGGAAGTAAAACATGCCAAGGGCAAAGGCGGTAGTTCCGTCTTCACAGAATGTAGGGGTGTGATGAGCAGCGAAAGATCTACAAGGACAGACTAAACCGCAATGACGTTAAAGTGATCTCACGATATTTTTCAGGATTCTATCCGTGTGGTCCTGGGAAACATGGACAACCTGCAGCCTTTTGCTACGGAACACTTCATTGTATTTCCCTGTATCCTTCCCTTGCTGGCCGCAGCTGCAGAGTCACCTGAGTGCAGCCAAGCCACAGGCAGTGTGGGGGAGACTAGGGACAGGAGAGCAAGTGTGTCCCCTCAATGAGCAGTAGGAGACGTGCCCTGGCTCCCCGCCCTCTCCTTAGCTCCATTTCCCAGACAAAAGCGAGTGGGAAAGAGTTTCCCACCTGAAATTCAAGCATGGGGAAACCGTGCTGATCCCTTACCCATTTGTTTTCACACTCTACTTGGAGATGAAGCAGTTTCATGAACACCTGTCACCTGGTAAGTGACTTGAGGGGAGGTTGGCAGCAGGCACTGGCTGTGGTGAGAAGGTCTGCCAGCTTGGCCTGCAAGCGCCCCAACAGTAAAATAGTCAGGGCACGTGCTCTCAGCCCGGTTGCTGTGCCGCTCAGTAGCATGCGACCATAGCTGAGTGGCTGCGGGGAAAAAGCCAACATGATCAGTATCCTTCTCATTGAGTTGTAAAAAAAGATTATATATTCATAAATAATGTTTAATATCAATAATGCAAACAGAGGTGAGTGGAAAGTACCAGGTTTGGCCTGGAGTGATCACTCAGTGACAGCAATTCCGTAAGCGTGTCCTGTTTTAGAGCCCTCCAGGACTTTCACATGAGTGGTACCTTAAAGATATCTCCCAGTTTTTTAATTCTGAGGGTGGTAACTCTTTTAGTCCTTGAAGGAAAGGGTAAGCATCTGGCAGTTTGATTTGAAAAAGAGTGCCAAGACTCAAAATCTCCTCAAGCGATGTGTCACTGATGCTTGAAGTCACTCTGGTTTCCTTTTGTGGTACGTTCATCCCCTTCTAAGCGGTGCCCTGTTCCGGCATGTGCACAGAACCTTTTCAGCTTGTGATACAAGGAAGGAAGAAAAATTACAGACAGCCTTCCTAGGGAGGGTAGTGTCCGGGACGAGGGAGAAGGGGCACGGGAAGGCATCTGCAGCCACTGCGATCAGTGAACTAGCCAGGCGTCCCCGACGGAGGCTCGACGCGCTCTGACATTCGGGTTTCCCGTTGCAGGGAGAGCAGGACAGGACAGTTCTCCTGGGACGGTAAGTGTGCTTTTCTGGACAGAGTGGACCTTGCCTTTCTACCGCCTGTGTTCCCAAATCCTGCTCCTGTCTTTTCCTCTTACTTTGCCTCTCAGTTGCTGCCCTGGGGCCAGTCAGAAGGATAAACCTGAAATCCCATTTTCCCCAGGCTAATTTTAAGAATCTGCCTCTGGCTAATTGTTTCTCTTACTTGCAAAGCTGATGTTTGAAAGTTCACCTGTGCCCACATGAACTGAGAGCGCTCCCAGGAAAGGCGTCACAAGAGGACGGTTTTCCTCTGCAGGTCCTCACTGAAAAGACATCACCAGTAGCCACTGTAAGGAAACGGAAATGCATGGAGGAGCCCAACTGCAGCCCCAGCCCAGGGCTGGCCAGGTCAGCGGTGTGGGGGAGGGCAGGCTAACCTCTGCGTCTTGCTGCCTGATCTGTCCTGCAGTGAGTCATTTTCTTTTTACTATTTATAAATTTATTTTTATAAAGATTTCTTTATTTTTATTGGAAAAGCATATTTACAGAAAGACAGAGGTTTTCCATTTGCTGGTTCACTTTCCAAATGGCCACAATGGCCAGAGGTGAGCTGATCCGAAGCCAGGAGCCAGGAGCTTCTTCCAGGTCTCCCAGGCAGGTACAAAGTCCCAAGGTTCTGGACCATCCTCCATTCTTTCCCAGGCCACAAGCAGGGAACTGGATGGGAAGTGGAGCATCTGGGACATGAACCGGTGCCTTTATGGGATCCTGGCATTTGTGAGGGGAGGACTAGACAATTAAACCACCTCCCAGGCCCGAGTCACTTTATCTTTAAAAGGTCAGTCATAACTGCCAGCCCAGTGGGTGGACTAAGGGAAGAAACCAAGTTGAAACTTGCAATGTAAATTTTTTTTTTACAGATTTATTTTATTTTTATTGGAAAGGCAGATATACAGAAAGGAGAGACAGAGAGGAAGATTTTCCGTCCTATGATTCACTCCCCAAGTGAGCACAACGGCCGATGCTATGCCGATCCGAAGCCAGGAGCCTCTTCTGGGTCTCCCACGCGGGTGCAGGGTCCCAAAGCTTTGGGCCGTCCTCGACTGCTTTCCCAGGCCACAGGCAGGGAGCTGGATGGGAAGTGGAGCTGCCAGGATTAGAACCGGCGCCCATATGGGATCCCGGGTGTGCAAGGCAAGGACCTTAACCACTACGTCATCACGCCAGGCCCAAATTTTTTTCTTTTTAAGATTCACTTATTTATTCCAAAGGCAGAATTACAAAGAGAACATGAGAAAGAGATTCCCCGAGTGGCTGTGATGCCCAGTGCTGGACGAGGCTGAAGCTGGGAGCCTGGAACTCCATCTGGGCGTCCTGCCCAGGCTAGCAGGGGTTCAAGTGCTCGAGCCATCTGCTGCCGCTCTTCCAGGCTCGCTAGCAGGGAGCTGGCGGCAAACACACTCTGCAAGACCCAGACTGCTGCTCAGAGGTGCTACAGGCGGTGGTTTAACTTGCTGTACCAGATCCTGTCATTTGACCAAATTTGAACACAGGTCCTTTCTCCACAAAGTAGGATTGCTCATAGATTAAAATGAGGGCCAAGAGAAGACATCATCAGATCTTACACAATTGAATTCAACATATTCAATAAATATGTCCTTTGTTATATTGTAAGAAGACACAAGACTTCAGTGAGGTCTCAGATGACCATACAAAAATATGGGAAACCTTTGAGAATTAGAGAACAAATGAAAATGAATGCTTTTTTTTCTACTGGTGAATTGAAAGTTTTTGGAGGCTGTGGTCTAGGCTGACATATCAGTCTTTGCAAGAGACTGCGTTGGCTGTTGAGTGGGGGGCTGTTTGAACGGGGGGCTGCTAGGGAGGAGAGCACAGCGCCGTGAGCTGGACTTGCTTTCACAGGGGTCACTCGCCTTTTTTGGATTCTCTGTCCCTACTAGCATCTAGAGAGCATTGCTGGGAGAGTCTGATGTGCGGTTTGCTTGTCAGCCCACAGTACCTCCACCCTGGGTTCACAGGAGCTGTTTCCTGGAGCTGCATAGGCCCCTTGATGTCCAGGAGTGTGAGAACAGACCAGCAGGGCACTGACCCAGCGCCGGCCTGGCGTGCCTGTCAGTGACGAGTTAGGTGCTTCCTTCCGAGCAGGTGGAATGTGAGGATACTCAAAGTCGGGAGGTTTTGCTGTTCCATTTGAATTTGCCATGAATATGAAGTCTCATGTGTTTCTTCTGAGTTTTGATGCACAAATCAAGTATTTAAAAATCTGATAACCTGCTGTCAATCACATGTTCCTGTCTCCAAGCCCAGACTCCTAAGTGTCTCAAGTTGGGATAACTATAGCTGCACCTAAAGAAAATTTGGCCTTACAATGTATTCTGCCAGCCAGGAGTGGTGTAAAAATAGCCAACCTGCTGAAATATTCATTTGGGCCACATTTGCTTGAATGTAGTGAAGCTGTGGCTGCCACTAACAGTTCCTGGGCTTTTTCTCTCCACCTTAGACCCAAGATGGGGACTTCGGGTCCCAGCCTCAGCAGAAAGAAGCCCCCTGTGACAATCAGAAGGGTAAGCCCTGGGTTACGAGTTCTGGGGTGCTTCGTTTCATCAGGGCTGGGATTCCTGCTGCCGGCACATTCTGGTCCTTCGTGCAGACTGCTCTGATGGAACCCACTCTGAGGTGTCTCTTCTGTACAATAGCATTTATCTCCCCTACCTCGGTCCCAACCCATCCCAAAGGTGGCTGCATCAGACGCACACCACTAACGCACCTGCTCCATGAAAATGTCCCCTCTTCTTAGCTTACAAAGCTGCTCGTTATACTCGGAGGTTGAAATTACAAAATAGGTCTGTATTGACCAGCAATGGGACCCAGCATAAAATTTTTGGTTTGGAAAAGGTTTTGTCTTTGTCTACAATGGGTCTGAGTCGAGGAGCGTCTAGTTTTCACAAGTGAGCTAAGTAAGAACCAGCTAGCTTCCGGGAGACTTCTGGAGTAACCGAGGGCAGGCCCTGATGATGGTTGATTTCGTTCGTGAGATCTGTTCCCCTTGTCGGTGTGCATGTCTCTGCCCTTTCTCCATGTCAGAGCTTCTTGGCCCCCCTTTTCCTTCTCTCCTGAATTGTTGCTAGCTGTTAGCCACGCCTTCTTGAGCCTGCCCTTTTTCTTACTTCCTACTCCTAGGTGACTCAGAACTCTGACCTAAGTCCCCAAACACTAACAATCACCTCACTCACCTTCCCAGGACCCATCACATGATCTGTTAGCAAATATTTATGTGTGATCCTCTCAACAGATGTTCATGTGGGTCTACGTGTGCCAGATGCTAGGGATGTGATTCCCTCCTCCACAGACAGCAGTGGTACAAGGCAGGGCACCCAGTCACTGGCGGATGTGCTCTGCCGAGGGGGGAAGAAAACCCAGGGCCCAGGGTGTCCACAGAGGAAGGGTTCCCAAGGTTGGGGTGATGCAGGCTACAGAATAAGCCACTATTTGCAATGTTGGTGTCTCACATTGGAACGATGGGAGCACTGGTTTGAGTTCTCGCTGCGCTGCTTCTTTTTAAAAAAAATTTTAAATTTTTATTGCAAAGTCAGATATATAGAGAGTAGGAGAGACAGAGAAGAAGGTCATCTATTCGTTGATTCACTCCCCAAGCAGTCACAATGGCTGGAGCTAAGCCAAAGTCAGGAGCCAGGAGCTTCCTCCAGGTCTCCCACGTGGGTGCAGGGTCCCAAAGCTTTGGCCCCTCCTCCACTGCTTTGCTAGGCCACAAGCAGGGAGCTGGATAGGAAGCAGGGCCACCAGTGCCCATATGGGATCCCAGTGCATTCAAGTTGATGACTTTAGCCGCTAGGCCACAGTACCGGGCCCTTAAGAACTATTTATTTGTATTGGAAACACAGAGTTATAGAGAGAAGGAAAGACAGAAAAGATCTTTCATCCGCTGGTTTACTCCCCAAGCGGCCACAATAGCTGTGATGGCTGGAGCTGAGACAATCCAAAGCCAGAAGCCAGGGGCTCTTCTGGGTCTCCCATGTGGGTGCAGGGACCCAAGACTTTGGGCTGTCCTCAAAGTTTTTCCCAGGCCACAAGCAGGGAGCTGGACGGGAAGTGGGGCAGCCAGGACACGAACTGGCACTGATTATGGGATCTTCGCAAGGAGGGGATTTAACCACTGAACCATTGCCCCAGGCCCCTGGTTTGCTTCTAATCCAGCCCCCTGCCACCCAGCTGGGAGTCCTAAATGGAATGTCAGCTCCTGGCTTTGGCCTGACCCAGTGCAGCCATTTGCAGGTTTTTGACACATGAACCAGAGGATGGAAGGTTTCTGTCTGCTGAGTTCTGTCATTGCCTTTCAGAGAAATAAATAATTCTTAAAAACAAAACAAAACGAAACAAAAACACAGTAGTTCAGAATGTGGTAGAGAACCCAGAATGAAGAAAATGGGGCTTATATATATTATATATATATATATATATAAATCAGATTTACAGAGAGGAGAGACAGAGAAAAAGATCTTCCACCCACTGGTTTACTCCCCAAGTGGCCACAAAGGCTGAACATGAGCTGATCCAGAGCCAGGAGCTTTTTCCAGGTCTCCCACTTAGGTGCAGGGTCCCAAAGCTTTGGGCCAGCCTCAGCCGCTTTCCCAGGCCATAAGCAGGGAGCTGGAAGGGAAGTGGGGCAGCCAGGACACGAACTGGTGCCTATATGGGAGGATTTAGGATTTAAATCCACAGGTGAGGATTTAGTCACTGAGCCATCACACTGGCCCAGCAAGCGAGTTTTTGGTCAGGCCCAGAATGTGGTTCTTGTGTTGAGCGTAGGCTGGTGAACTGGCGCTGAGGACAGTGCCGAGGCAGCTCCTGGAGCGATCAGCACGGGCTGTGTCAGAAATCGCCCCGGCCACCTTCGGGATCACAGGAATCCAGGGATAACACGCTCCCATACAAGAGTGAAATGATGTTTACTTCTTGTCTCCTGCCCACAGGCATCTTTTTGAGGAGGGGCAGGCAGGAACACACACAAGCATGTATAAAACCTAGTGCTTCTTTCCAGAGGCTTGCAGCTTAGCCCGGGAAAAGGTGTTCCTGTAGAAGGTAGACCCCTCCCCTGTGGGCACGCACAGTCCAGGGCCCTTCCTGTGCCCTGGCTAGCTGGCGCACTGCGCACATTTGGGTAGTCACTTCCTCTGTGCCTACCATCCTCCAGAGAGGTAAAAAGAGGAAGTGAGAAAGTACAAGAAGAGTACATGAGGCTCCAGAGAACAAAGACACTTTATACCAACAAGGTAATTAGCATGAAAGGAGCAGGCCCTTCACTTACTACCCTCCGTACTGGCCTATTCTTAGTCTGACACGTCATCTCCCTCAAGAACAGTGCCCGCAGCTTCTTACTCAACATAATTACCTTTTCAACCTGATTCTGGGTTCAGAAGAACTCGGAGTAAAAAGGAGCATGTTTATTGACTTTTTTCACTCAAAGCCCAAAGACTCTCTGCATGACAGGCCCTGCTCCCGGGATGAGGACTTCTTCCCCTGAACGGCAGAGATCACAGTGCCCTTGAGTGTAAGTCATGGAAACTGGAACAACGGGATCTGCTCTTCAGTCTAGTGCCCGCCATCTCTTCCCACTTTGGAGGGAGTTGGAGCAGAGGATCCCAGGCAGCGTGGGTTGTGCCCATCTGAAGCCGTCAGGAGTGAGGAGTACAGCACAGAACTGGCCTGAGAGTGTTAGGGAAACCACAGGAAGGGGGACACGTCATATCCCCCAATCACTCCAGGCCCCAGACCGAGAGATCTGGATTCTGGAAGGTTAAAAACTTGAGCCGGAGCTGACAGCCCGGAAGTGAGACACTACATGCTGTCAACACCTCCGCCTTCAACAGCTCAACCTTCTCAACAGCTCTGGCCATAACTGTACAGCAGGCAGCCTGGAACCAGGTCCTGCTGGAAGTCCGTATCTTACACAGGCCATCGCCTCCTCCCCTTCTCGCTTTGCTTGAGGAAACCTCTCTCAAAGTTTTAGGGGGACATCAGTTCTACCCCCTCTTTTGAGGAGAGTTCCTTGAGTCAGGGCTGGCCTGTGTTCTGCCAACCCTATTAGACGCCACTCCACTGGTTCTTAGGGCTACTCTACACGGCAGGGTTTAAGCCTGAAACCATAATTCCATTCAGGACCCAAGGGTCATTTCCTCTAGTCAAAAAGCAGAGTGGGTCTGTCTGGAGAAGGTGAGAAAGCTGGCTCTCCTTCCTCCCCAGAGGACCAGGACTTCAGCCGCTGTCCATGCAGCCTGGCACTTTGCAGGGTTTGTTGTAAAGGCACTCGTCTCAGAAACACCTGCTGTGCTCATCTCAAATTTGTGCTGAGAATGGGCGCTGGTCACATTCCTGTGGCACCTGGCGCCAGCCTTGCTGTTTGAACTTGCTTAAAAAGGTTTATTTATTCATTTGAAAGGCAGGGTTTCAGAGAGAGAGAGAGCTTCCATCTGCTGGTTCACTGCCCAGATGGCCACAGCAGGCAAGGCTGGACCAGATCAGAACCAGGAGCTTCTTCGCTGTCTCCCATGTAGGTGACAGTGGCCACCCTTTGCATTTTATGGCCCTCCTCTCTCAGGGAGCTGGACTCAAAAGTAGAGCGGCTGCGACACAAACTGGCACTAATATGGGACTCTTGATGTTGCAGGTGAAGGCTTAGTTTGCTACTCCACAACACATCCCCCTACTCAGTTTTTAGTGGCACCATGCCCATATGTACTCTGTCTGGAATGCCCAACCCCTCACCCTGTTGGGATGAAATACCACCCATTCAGCAAGGCTCCGTTCTAAGCTCACTTCTCTGTGAAGTGCTTGGCGGTGCTGCATAGACCCTGCGGCAGTGAACCCCACCCTGATTTAGGACAGAGCAGTGTATCAGTTTTACCCCCCAGAGATTTGTGTTCTCTACCTTAATGCTGAAGTTCTCGTGAATTCCATTAGCAGTAGGAGGCATGCCAGCCAGGTCCAGCTTGGCGTGTTTTCGGCTCTGAAATCTCACCATGTTACAGGGACAGTGAGGAAGAGACTAAAATGTGGGCCTGGCATGATGGCGTAGTGATTAAAGTCCTCGCCTTGAATGCGCCGGGATCCCAGATGGGCATGGGTTCTAATCCCCGTGGCCCCGCTTCCCATCTAGCTCCCTGCCTGTGGCCTGGGAAAGCAGTCGAGGACGGCCCAAAGCCTTGGGACCCTGCACTCACGTGGGAGACCCAGAAGAGGTTCCTGGCTCCTGGCTTCAGATTGGCTCAGTTCCAGCCATTGCAGTCACTTGGGGAGTGAATCATCAGATGGAAGATCTTCCTTTCTGTCTCTCTTCCTCTCTGTATATCTGCCTTTCCAATAAAAATAAATGTTTTTTTTTTAAGAGGCTAAAATGTAGAAGGGACTATCCTCCATTAGGAAATAATGAGCGTGCACTGGGAAGTCAGAAGCCAGGCCCCAGGCCGAGGGGAAGTTAGATCACCAGCATTTGGGTCCCTGAGCTCTGTTTAATAAAGTTTAATTTCGCTCTCAGAACAAACAAAGAAAAACTCAGCAGGAATGGCAGGAGACCTTGGCTGTTGATTCCACTCATGTCCAGGAAGAGGGTAGGTTCAGGAACATTCTTGTTCCGTCTCCTTTGATTCCCCCTTGGTTCTCTGATGAGCAGGCTGAGCAGCCCAGGGCTGTGAGTCTGGGCCACTGGGTGAGTGAGGTGCCTTGTGCCTCAGCCTCGTTCAGTGGAGGGTGAGGGGAACCTCCACCCCACAGGCCTGAGGGAGGGGCAGGACGGGAAGGAACTCTAGCCCTTCTCTGCGAGCTACTCACTGTTTCAAATGTTCCTGAACCCACTGGTTTTACAGGAAACAAGGGGGGAGGAAATTTCCCTCTTCTGTCAGCAAGTGATCCCTGCAAGGCCGCCTCTCCTCTTCCTTGGAGCATTAGCCTTGACGCTGAAGGTGCTACAAGGGCTGGGATGCCTGCAGGTGCTGCCCTTACAACCTACTGGCCCACCCTGGGAAAGTTCCATGTGGGCTGCAGCCTTCCCAGCAGCAGGGCTGTGAGCAAGCACTTGCTTGGTGTGAAGCCACGGCAGCACAGAGGGAGCCGGGCTTGAGCTGTGTTAATAGGGAACTGGAGGGCATCTTGCCGGCTGGCAGGAGCAAGGCTGCATAGGACACGCAGCTGCCCTGGCTTTAAGCCCAGCCTGGCGGGAAGCTGCTCTCACCCTGCCTGCTATGCACTTGCAAGGAGTCCATGGGCCAACCTGTTTCCTTACAGATTCCAAGTGGGGACACAGTCCTGCAGAACCAGGTGCCACTCCACCGCAGCAGAACAACCTACCCCCCAAGGAGACGGGCAGCAGGGGCTTCTTAGAGTTTCTAAGGTAAGAGAAACTGCTGTCCCTGCCGGCTGACAGAGGGTGGCTCCAGGGCCTGGCCAGAGGGGACTGACAGCAGGTGGCTTTCACAGGTTCCTCAGTGTCTGGCATGAAAGATGGCAGATAAATGGGCTTGAGACCAAGGGCCCCGTGGTGAGCTCACTACCGAGTGTCCTGCTCTGTTGTGCCCAGCGCACGGCTGTCTAGCGCCCGGCACAGGGTCCGGTCCCATAAACAGGGCCTGAACAGAGCCTGGTCACATTTGCCTTGGCTCATCCAGACAACTTGGCTACCGAGACAGTTCTGTGTCTCCCTCCGACTCTCAGTGGGGTTGTAGGAGTCCTCTCAGCAAATGACAAGCTCGCAGACCCTTCTGAGTAGAGAACAGCTGTCCTGTAGCTGTTTCTCCTTCATGAACCTCTCCTGGAAATCACCTCATTTGACGGCCCTTCTGAACGCTCTTCCAGACTCGAATTTCCACTCCATAGCTCCCCAGAGCAAACAGGCGCAGCCAATGAAGCAGTAATGGGAGGAAGGGAGAAGGGAGGAGCCCTCGGCCGGTGCCAGCCATCCATTTCTCCCCCTGCAGCTCTCTCTTCCCGTTCCAGTACTTCTTCAGGAGGAACAGCCAGTGAACCCCCCAAAGTGGCACTGCCAGGACCACCTGGCACAGCACCGCCTGCTCTGTGTCCTCAGCCTGTGAGGCCTCAACCTTGGGCAGAGCAGAGCCCCAACTAGCTGACACCCCCCCAGGAGGGTTCTCCTGTCCTCTCCACCTTATAGTTGAATGTTTTTGTCCCAATTTAATTTTTTCAATTAAAAAAAAAAAAGAGAGAAAACAGCTTTCTAAAAAGCTTGGAATTTCACTGCCCTGAGGGCCAGTTTGGATCTTTTTGTCTGCAGCATTTAGGATCCTAGTGATAATAAATTATTTATGGAGAGTTATTGATTAAACTTAGCAAAATAGAAGTGGAGAGAGAAGCAGCCCTCCCCCAGGGCAGCCAGTGGCTCTTCTCAGCACCCTTTTGGGTGGGCGCATCTACACCTGACCGCTTACTTTAAATGTCACTCGCAAGGGCTGGGCCCTGCTGACGCGGGAGAACTGCTCTCTTCCCAAACACACTCAGCCCAGCTGTAAGTGTAGCTTCTCCAAGATAAAATGCTTCCCACCCGCCAGTACCTCCGGCCTCTGACGGTAAGGCTAATGGCTCTGTCAGGCTGTCCACCCTGGGACTGTGTGAAGGCCAGGGCCCCTGAGCTCCATCCACCACCAAGGAACCAATCCCGCACAGCTGTGGGACCAAGTAATTGATGGGAATGTAGGAAAGATTGCCTCTGCTTGCTGGGCGAGATGTCCGATATTGGAGCAGGCCACCTGGGGAGGTCAGAGCCCTTCTACCCCAAGAGTTCTGCACAGTTCACGAGCTATGGCGGGTCAGAGGGGTCCACCGTGAGGGGAGAGTTGGGACTGGGTTGCTGAGCTCCTCTGCCGCCCATAGGACCTCTGTGTGCCGTGGGTAAGAGCAACTCTCTGCAGGCGGTGTCGGCAGCCTCCCCACCGCTGTCCCAACCATAGGCATGTGCCCATGCTGACAGGCTGAGTGGCAGAGGCCCTGAGGGGACCACCCAGAATCCCGAGGCTTCCTCTGGCCCTCCCCTATTCCAGCCACTCTGGCTGCTGTGTTTAAGATTTGGTTCTGTCCTCCAGCTTGCCCTGTCCTTGCCCCAAGTGTACGGCTGGCACAGGGCAGGTGCATTTAGAGCTTCAGTCCACCCTGGCATGAATTACTGTGTGGCTCTAGCAGGTGGCTTTCCTTCCCAGAGTCTTACTTGCCTTCCCCATACAGCCAAAGCCCAATCAACTTCAACTGTGCTGGGGCTGGCACCCTCAGGCTTGGTTAGGAGCTTGTTCTCCTACTGCAGGCCCGTGAGACCCCTGCAGCTCAGAGCCCCCTCTGTTGCCCACATAGAGGGCAAGAAGTCATCCACTGATGCAAAAATGGACAGACCCCTATCCTTTGCCTTTGCCACTGGGCACCTCTCAGGTGCCCCCTCCCTTTTGCGATTTTCCTTGCCCCCAGAGCATCCTTCTCCCAGTCCCTTTCCTCTGTAGGACAGACAGGGCTGCCGAGTGGCTTTAGGTTGGGGTGAGAGGTCCTGGACAAGGGGGTGTCCTACCGACCTAACGTCACATGTAGCCTTGACTTGGCTGTCTCAGCCCTGCCCTCCCTGACCCTACACGTGCTGCATGCCCTGGCAGCCCCACCAGCTGCTGCCAAGGACAGCACCCCTGCGCCTGATGGCCGGCTCCCAGGTGGGCTTGCCAGGAGGCCTCGGGCTGGGAGGCCCAGCCTAAAAGCCAAAGCCGAGCCCCAGAGGGTGTGGCTCCCAACAGGCGCAAACAAAAGCCCCAGAGCCAGCCCAGAGATCTGCAGAGCCATTCTTTTCCTGGCCTCAGAAATGGTGAGTGCTCCTGGAGGAGGCCTGGGGGGTGTGGAAAGGGGACCTGCAGGCAGGTGAGGTAGAGATGGGGCAGGAGGAGGGAGCAGGTGTGTGCTTGCAGGTGTGGGAGATTGCGGGGGTGGCGGGGGACTATGCTGAATGCTGACACGGCCAGGCCAAGTCCACACACACCCTCCAAGGCAGCCCTGGCCGGCCGGCTGGCTATACCCTGTCAGCAAGGCCAGCCAGCCCTGCCCCACTTGCCTGCAGAGCCCTCCACCCACATGTCAGGTGCGCATGAGGTCCCCTTGGGCCCTGCTCCTTTACCTGCTGGTGATCACTGAAGGCTGGGGCCAAGAGCCAGCCAGCCCAGGCTGCCACCTATACCGTGAGTAACTGGGACCCGAAGGCTGGGGGCAGTGGGAACTCTTTGGGAGGGGAGGGAGCTAAGATGAGAGGCCAAGCCTGTCCGGCAGCCTGCACCCTAGGCAGACCCACACAGAAGTACAGCATGTGCATGGAGGCACCGTTTACCCCTCGCCCATCTCCTAGCTTTCAATGTGACTGTACGAAGTGACCGCCAAGGCACCTGCCAGGGCTCCCACGTAGCCCAGGCCTGCGTGGGCCACTGTGAGTCCAGTGCCTTCCCTTCTCGCTACTCCGTACTGGTGGCCAGTGGCTACAGGCACAACATCACCTCCATCTCCCAGTGCTGTACCATCAGCAGCCTGAGGAAGGTGAGGCGGGCCAGCGGCAGGGCTTGGGGGCAGAGGAAGGCCACGGTGGGCACCCAGGACAGCTGGCTGAAGACAGCTCCCCTCTGGCACAGGTCAAGGTGCAGCTGCAGTGTGGGGGGACCCGGAGGGAAGAACTGGAGTTCTACACAGCCAGGGCCTGCCAGTGTGACATGTGTCGCCTCTCACGCTACTAAGGGCCCTCCTTGCGTCCCAGGTTCCCATGGGTGGGACAAGCCAGCACCTGGGATGCCAACCTGCAGGAGGCTCTGGCCCTTCCAGTTACTTGCTGGGGTCTAACTGGAAGTGCCCATAACCTCTGAGAGCGGTGTTTGCCTTCTCCTGTCCCCACCCAGCCCTGCCCCCTGCCCTGCCCCTAAATAAACCAAGCCCATCTGGAGTTTCGCTCTTTATTAAGTCTACCCCCAGCCAGGGGAAGGGGGCAGACCATGGTTCCTGTGACCCACTTCCCCAAGACACTGAACTTCATTTTGCCTGTGCCCTCACCCCTCCCCCTGCCCAATAAATAAAAAGGGACAAAGGACATCAAGGGCGAAGGAGGGAGGGACAGGACAGTGTCTGTGTGGAGGGTGAGCTGGGAGAGAATAAATAGACCCCAGGCCCCACAGTAGGGGTGAGGAGGGGGCTCAGCCGCCCAAGGCCGGAATAGCCAAGGTGCCGCAAGTCCTTGGGGGAGGCTGGGAGCAAGAGTGGGGCCGCCTGTGCTCCGGAGCCCAGCTTGGCCCTGCCCACAGCTCCCCAGTCACGTCCTTCTTCGAGGGCCAGAGAGCTTGGCTGCCCAGGTCACTCGCTCCTCTTCTGGTTCCCCTGGTCAAGGCTCCCCCAGAGGGCCCCGGTGGGGGGAGTCCACAGAACCTACTCAGGCAGGGCCAGGGCACACATGTGTCTCTGGGCCCTGGGGCAGGGGAAAGAATGGAGGGGTAGCCAGCTCTGGATATCACATCTCCCCTGCTGGGGGGCTCTCTAGCTCTGCCCACCACTGGCAGCCACCTGGGGTGTAAGGCGCTGGAGGGGTGCATCCCTGGGCCCTGGGGTGCCCTGCAGCCGGCGCAGCCGCAGCTCCTCCAGGCCCTGCCAAAGCTCCTGACGTTCCCGGGCCTTCTGCTGCTCCCTGGGGAGAGAGGTGAGGCAGCTGCCCTGCCCAAGACCCCACACCATCCAGCCGCCTTTTCCACCCAGCTCTGCAGAGGGGTGCCATGGAGGAATGTTGTGACTCCAGAGGATTTCCCCCCCTTACTTAGGGGAAAGAGCTGACGGGAGACTGGTCCTGGCCCTGGGGCGTGAAGGCAAGCCAGCCAACCTGGGGCAGCCCTGGTTGAAAGGGAGGAAGCTGTGGGGGCTCAGGAGGGGCCAGCGCCCAGGCAGCTGCAGGAAGGACTGGCAGCGGGCACTTCTGCACTCCCAGGCCAGGGCAGCGCTTCTCAGCTGAGCCCATTCCTTCCTATCTTCGCTCCCCACCACACCCACCCCGCCACTCACTGCTGTTTCTCCAGCTTGTAGGAGGCCGTGAGCTCGTCAAAGAGCTTCCCGTTCATCTCCATGAAGGTCTTGAGCACATTGTAGATCAGGGACACGATGGTTCTGGGTGGGTGAGGGAAGGCTTGGCTCAGGTCCACCTCCATCCTCCTCCTCCACATGCCACCTCCCCCCACCCCAGGGTCGGCAGGCAGGGGCTGAGCAGGCACTCACTGGTTCCAGTGCTCCTTGGAGACCTGGTAGAGGGTCCCAAACACGGCCGGCAGCACAGTGTGACAGTTGTCCTCGATGAGGCTCAGGATATACTCATTGTTCCAGAAATACAGAGCCCGCTCTGCAACCTGCAGCAAATGAGATGGCACCAGGTGTTGCAGTGTCCTTGGGGCAGACAGGGTCTGGAGTCCAGCCCTGCCCTTAAGCCAGGCCCTCGCCCACCCTGCTGTTCCATGTGTGGGGCTCAGCTGGGAGGAAGCAATGTGGTGACAGGGGCAAATGCTAATTCACAGAATGTGTCCCGCCTTGGGGGCACTGCCAGCTGCCAGGGGCTGGGCCCTCAAGTGGGACCAAGGAAGCATAAGGCCACCATGGGAAGGGGACCATAAAAAGGCTGCTTTCCTGCTGGCTGCTCACCTCGTCACCACCTCGTTTCTTTGGGGAAAGACTGATGCTGGCCTATTTCACAGATGAGAAAGTTTAAGCAGACTCAGGGTGACAAAGGATTTGCCCAAGGCCTTCCCCCATCAGACAGCAGAGGGCAAATCTGGGGCAGGCCCTAGGTTTTCTGACCCCAAGTGCAGCGTCTCCCCATTCCCAGACTCAGGACTGGGGGGAAAGTGAGGGCAGAGAGAGTGAGATTTTCAACATGCTCAGTCCCTGCCCCCAGGCTTGGTCCCGAGTACCTGGAAATGGGGGCTGGAGACACAGCGGGCCACCTGCTTGAACAGGGGCTCCTGGATCTTCACAAACTGGGAGGGCTCGATGACATCAAGGATCTCTTCCATCTCCCCCAGAAACATGACCTGGAGTCAGGGTTGGGGGACACAGGGACAGAGACGGCAGCTCAAACCCGCCCTGCCCGCCTTCCGCAAGCTGAGCCCCCTGCCCTTCCACCCTCTGGTGGGCATCACAGAGCTTCCCCAGACCTCCTTCTGCGTGCAGGTTTTTGGCCAGTATTTGAGCAGCCCCCGGATCACCTGTGAGGAAGAAGGGGGTCAGACCTGCAGAAGTGGGGACGCTCCTCCCCCACCCTGCCCCCTGGGACTCACATGCTCTGTCAAAGTGGCATCTTTCTCTAGAAACTGCACGACACAGTAGGCCAGCTGTAAGGGGCAGAGCAGAGAGAAGGAAGCTGGGGGCCTGCAGCGGGGCCAGGTGCCAGGGACCAGTGCTGGACCCACAGGCCATCACCCACTGCCTGGAACTGTAGCGGGGGCCCATGGGAGTGGAGACATAGTGATTTCTCAGGGGAGAACCTGATGCACCTTGCGGAACATTCCAGGGTAGTCTGCAGATTGCCGGGGCCTCACCTGGGCATGGAAGACAGACAGGGATTTGACGGAGTGCAGGGGAATCAAGACTCGAACCAGGAACTGCTTGTGCTCTGTCTTCAGGGGCAGCGCGAAGCCATTGATGATGCTAAGGAGGGAGCAGGAGGGGGTAGGAGGTCACGGCCCAGCCCCTCCACCCTGAGCACCCAGCCCCTCCATCCCGAGCACCCAGCCCCTCCACCCTGAGCACCCAGCCCCTCCATCCCGAGCACCCAGCCCTTGCCAGGCAAACTAGGGGGACTCACCTTCCTAGGATCTCCAGCAGCTCGGCCACACCATTGAAGTGCTCAAGTTCATAGATGAACCTGCCGCGGGGGAAGAGAAGCGGGCAGGAAGCTCAGCCCGCACTCCTAGCCATCTGGCCTGCCTACCCTGTCCCAGAGCCACACCCCTCCTCAGCCCGTCCACCCCAGCCGCACCTAAGTCCCTCTCCTCCATCCAGAGTGTCAGGCCACCTCTTCCTCCCACCCCCTCCCCACCCAAGACCTGATCCTCCGGTGACCAGCAGGCACCCAGGGGAGACTCCGTACTCAGTATGCCAGGAATCCACCAAGAATGACACAAACATAGAATATCTATGCTGCACCACCCAATCCCAGGGGAGGCTATTCAAAGCCCACACACAGAGGAAGACATGGAGACTCCTGAAGTTACTAAGCAGTAAAGCAGGGCGCCCCGAGCTCAGCATGGCACGGCACGTTCAGCAGCTGCTTGCGGCACCAGCATGCCCTATGGGCGCCAGTTCAAGTCCCAGCTGCTCTACCTCTGATCCAGCTCCCTGAGGATGTGCCTGGGAAGGCAGCAGAAGATGGCCCAATTGCTTGGGATGCTGCCGCCCACACGGAAGGCCCACACGGGAGGCCCGATGGTGTTCTCGGCTCCTGGCTTCAGCCTGGCCCAGTCCTGGCCACATACTGTGGTCATTTGAGGAATGAACCAGTAAATGAAATCTCTTTCCCTGTCTTTCTACTTTCCACATAAATAAATCTTAAAAACAAAGCCAGTGGTGAATATAATATATGTTGGGCTCCTGGAAGACAGGGCTCAAAGCTGTGACAGTGACCGGTCTCCATGCACAAGCTGCCATGGACACTGCCTCATGTCCCCTCAATGATGGTCCTGTGGGCAGGACAGGCAACATCCTCCTTTCAAAGATAAGGAAAGTCAGTGGGGCGAGCTCAAGCCTTCGGACCAAGTCCTAAGACCCAAATACTGGGACCAAACTCAAGTACAGGCCATCAGAGCTACGACCCAGAGCTGTGGTTGTGACCATGTGGGTGCCCTGCATCCCGTGGCTGCTTGAGCTCAACACATGCTGGCAGAAAGAGCCTCGCTGGCTCCTTACGACCTGGTGATGAGAGAAAGGAGAGCGAGGCTCCTGGAATGGGCCAGCCCTGCACCTGTCTCTCTCTCTGCCTCCAAGATCTTCAAAATGAAAAACAAACCCCCATGTTCTGCTGCCTCCATAGGCTCTGAGCAGTTAATATTCTGGAATCTGTTGCTGAGAAAGAACCTCACATGGCGCCCCCCCACGAAGGCCTCCCAGACCCCCTCCTGGGACAGGCCGAGACACGCACGAGCACCCCTCACCGTAGGAAAATGTGGTTGCACTGCTTGCGGATGTAGGCCCGCAGCCCCAGGAACTTCCCATAGACCCGGTGCAGAATGGTCTTGAGGTACTCACGCTCCCGGGGGTCCTCACTGTCGAACAGCTCCAGGAGCTGGGGGAGGCCAGGGTCAGGGGTCAGGGCCACCCCAGCAGGGTTTCCATGCTCTCCCACAGCCCTCCGACAGCCCCGGCAGGCAGCACCCTGACTGGGCTCCCCACTTCACCATCAGCACAAACTTTTGATCCACATAACGCTTGGCCACGGAGGGCTGGAAGTCTGGGCTCTCCAAGAACCGCAGGAAGAACTCGTATACCAGCTGGGGGAGGGACAGCGCTAAGTTAGCGCCAGCCTCGCCCCCTTGTGCCCCACCCTGGGCTCTCAGCCAAGCAACAAAGAAACCTGACTCCCGGCCTTCCCACCTGCAGGTGTGGCCACGAAGGCTCCAGGTTGGGTTCGTCCTCCTCGGGGTCAAATTCAGGGTTCTCACTGGGGGGCAGGGTCCGGAAGATGTTCACGGAGATCTGAGAAGCAGACAAGACAGAAACCAGGGAACCCCTCATGCACAGTTCTAATGGGGGCGACGACAGTACCTGTCCCACCAAGTAAGTCACCTCTTGGGCCATGTTCACCGGAACACCAAGTTTAAGACCAGAGCTGGGGGAGGAGGGGCTAGGAGGGTAGGCAGGTGCACCCAGTGGTGTGGGTGAGACACAGCCCAGGCCTCGGGCAGGTGTGCACCAGTGGGAAAGCAGTGCGGCCAGCAGGCATCGTGGGCAGAACAAGGGAGGCATCTGATCTGGGCATTGAGATGGGCTGTGCAAGATGAGACCATAGGGCCACGGCACCCCGGACCTCAGGGGAGACATGGCAATGGGACAAGGCTGGGAGGCCCTGAGCCGATGTCAGGCACCTCACTGAGCGCTCTGAGGCCAAGCCAAGACATGCAGGGTATATTCTCCACATGGGGTTCCCACCTTGGGTCAAGAGGGGTCCCCTGGAGGCTGGGTGCCCAGTCTGGGCGGGAGAGGGGTGCGCTTACCATGCGGATGATGTCAGGGTACACGGGCTCAATGAGGACGCCCCGGGTGCTCCCCACACATTCCACCAGCTCGTTGAGGGCCGCCCGCTTCACCTCCTTCCCCTTCAGGTCAGCCACGCAGTCCAGGAAGTCGAACATGACCCCGCACTGGGCCAGCTTGCGGCTGAGCAGGTCATGCAGCTCAGAGGCGGGCACATCTGGGGGTGGGGAGGGGACTAAGCCAGGGCCTGGGCAGGGCAGCTTGGTCCTCTCCAGGGCTGCTTCTCGGGGCAGCCTCTGCTGTCCCCAGGCCCCTCACACTTGGGTGTGAGGAAACAAACACCTTTCACCCCCTCCTCCTCACTCCTGGGGTCTCCCTCTCCCAGCCCAGAGAGAAGATTCTCAGCTGCCAGTGGCAATGACAAGATCAAGGCCTCTACTTGGTTGCCATGGCAATGGCAGCTAATGTTTCAGAGTCCTGGTCAGTCCAGTCCCACGTGAGTGCGAGACAGCATAGCTCTCGACAGGTGCCCCCCCACCCTAAACAGCCATAGCCATCATAGGTGTACCCAGTTCTAGAAATCAGAGGGAAGGTAGGGCTCAGTGCCAGCCAGCTCTAGGGGGCCTCCTGGCTCGGCCAGTCTGGCCCTGTAGCCTAGAGGTAGGTCAGGGCAGGAACTCCATGACGACCCGAAACACCTCTCTGGGACCCTAGCAGCTGGCCAAGCTGATCATGACCTCCGGGAAGCCAAGCTGCAGGCGCCACCCTTGGCAGTGTTCTGCCACCCACCCACCAGAGCAGGAGTACCTCCAGATGCCCCACCTCTGGGGATGACAGCCTAGTCAGGCCATCCTTCCACACAAAGGGCTGGAGGCTCGAGGCGTCCCTAGCCTGCAAAGGACCTTCCCAGACTTGGACAAGGCCCCAGCTGCCTCTCTGGCCCCTGTCCCTCGTCCGGCCCCAGCCTTGCTGGACCCCCTCCTGAGGGGTGGGGGCAGTGCAGGTGGCAGGTGGCAGGCAGCCAGCAGTGGCTCACCTTTGAGCAGGGGCAGCGGTGTCAGCTCCTGCTGGTTGCTCTGGTAGCGGAACTGCGAAGAGCTGTGGGAACGCCGTGGCCGGGCTCTACGCAGGGAGCGCCGAGAGAAGCCATCCACTTTGTCGGGTGGGGGCACGGGGGACAGCCCCGGGGAGGAGGGGCTGGTGGGTGTGCTCGCAGGGGGCAGCTTGGTCTCCATGGCTGTCAGGGAGCAGGTCAGGCGGTCAGGGTCCCTGGGCTCCCCTCAGGGCCTGGAGGATGCTGAGCGAGGCTGGCTGCCCTAACTTGGGCCCATCTTGACTGGGCGTTGTGGGGCGGGACAGGGATAAGGACGGTGCGGGGGGGGGGGGGGACACAACCACAGTCCTGGCCCCCCCCCAGGGCCTTCAGCGACTGTCCAGTCCTGGGGGGCAGGCTGGCTGCGAAGGAGGCTGGTTCAGGCCTGCGCTGTTGCTGTTGCTGCTGCCTGCAAGTCGCAAAGCGAAGCGTCCAGCCGGCTTCCTACTCCGGTTCTTGCGGAAACCAAGTGCGGAAAGGAAGGTCAGAAAAAGAGGGAGCAGCTGGTTGTGGGAATGGGGGCAGGGGACGCCGTAGCAGGGCGCCCACATGGGAAAACAAGGGCGCCGTGCCTTCCCCTCTTCAGCGCGGCCCTGTCCATCTCTACCCTCAGCCCCAAAGGCCCCGGCGCCAAAATGCACCTATTCCCTTTCTGAGTAGGGACCCCGTTCCCCCCCTCCCCTGCCCGCACCTGGTCCACCAGCCCCCATCCCCGTGGACATCCCTGAAAACGGGGCCCCTGTGTCCCCATCCCAGCCCTGCCTAGGACTTGGCACCCTCCCCACCTACCCCCCACCTCCGTCCCTCCTCCTTCACCGGGCCCCCAAACCTCATTGCGGGTGGATCGGGGAACACTCACTTTTCCAGCCCCGCTGGGTCACCGGCCCCCTGGGGCTGCCGGTGGTGGAGAGGGGGGCAGAGGTTCAGGGCTCCTGCGCCGCCGCGGTTCCGCTCGGGGCTCTGGGGCTGGGCGGCGGCGCTCCTGGCTGTTCTCCCCAGCTCAGGGCGGGCTGGAGCATGCCCTCCTAGTTCAGCCCCCGGCTCGGGGCCCCGCACACCGGCAGGTTCTGAGCCGGCAGCGCGGAAGAAGTGCTGGGGACTCGGACCCAGCGCACAGAGCGGGGCAGCTCTCCGCGCACCGGCGCCCGCCACCGGGGTGCTGCTCAGGATGACATCAAGCCGCCTCCCCCCACCCTCCCCGCCTCGCCAGGCCCGCACCGCCCCGCGGGCTGGGGGGGGGGGGGTGCTGCGTCAGGGACCAGGGGACACTGGGAAGTGTAGTTCCTGCCTTGCTTTAAAGGGCTCTGGAGTCCAAAGGGGTGACGCGCCAGGGAGGACTCCGGGGCCCGATCTGGATGACCTCCAAGCTAAGGCTGGTCTCCTAGACTGACTTCATGAGACTGTGAAGGGAGAGAGGAGGACCCAACAGTGCACACCCTGGAAGCAGGCCACGCATGCCATACCCGGGCCCATGAATTGGAACAGGGCCCCCTAGGGCCCTGGCTAGCCCGTGGGAACCCCAGACTCACCGCCCCCCAAATCCCCACAAGGTAGACACTTTTAAACTCCTTGGATACCGGCGCTGGACTAGTTAATGCGCCGCAGTGCACCTGGGCCTGCTGGGAAGGGTGGGGTGCTTCGGAGGCTCCTGGGCAATGTAGTCCATGCTCAGTCCTGCAGTCCCCCCTCCTGTCCCTTAACTACGGTGACATCATGGTCTCGACTTTAAAGGGCCAGCCGGGGAGTGGCAGAACATGAGAGCACAGGTGGGGTTCCAGGCTGCAATCCCTCCTCAGGAGGCCTGATCTCCCCCTTCCCCCACCCTCGACCTTCAGCCCCTCTTTGGGTCTGTCATTCAACGCCCCATAGCTGGGCATCCGAGGCACAGGTGGGGTTCCAGGAGCTTGGCATTCCGGCTTCAACTTCCCAGACTGCAGCCCAGGGTTCCCTGTCCCGGTGTGGACCCCTGCGCCCTGGCTTTGCCTGAGCCGCTATTATGCTGAGCCAAGGAACAACTAGAAGCCATGCTGCAGAAATGGGTACTGAGACTGGATGGGGAGTGGGGGGCAGTGCTGCTTCAGGCTGACAGCTCTGTGCTCTGCAAAGCCGGTCCCCCACCCCCACCCCTGCCATCCCTGCAGCAGAGGGAGAGGCCGGGACCCCAAGGGAGTCCTGCCACATCAGCACCAAGTCAAGGCCTGGCTGTCTTTAAGCCAGTCTGGGATCTCGCTTTGACCCACGCCCGCTCCTGGCCACCACCCTCCTAGCTCAGAAATCAACAGGCTTTATCTGTCTGTCAAATGGGAACCCAGAATCTCCTGCCTCGTCCAGTTCCAGGTTCCAGAAACTTCTCCCAGGTCCCTGAGCTAGAAGCTTGGAGGGAAGGGGGTCAGAGGGAGCCTTCTGCAATCAGATAAGGTTCCAAGGCCAAGGGCACACAGGTGCCATGTCCAAGGAACCATGGAAAGCTGGGGTTACGCTGGGGGCAGCCTAGACCAGGCCAGGTTACAGTACTCACTGGCATACATACATGTGGGTCAAGTCTGGAGGTGAACCAGGCTGGGCCAGTTCATAGCATCCACTGGCAGGTATGAGAATTAGGACAGTGTGGGACGGGCCAGGTTAGGCTGCAACACCAGTCAGATCACATTAGGGCCAGGACTAGGGGCTGGCTGGGCTGGGCTAAGCTCCAGCACCCACCAGCATGAGCTGGAACTGGGAGCAGGTTGACCCAAACCAGGCTGCAGTACCCACTGGCAAATGCCAAGGTGAGGTGGGCCATGCCAGACTGGGCTACGACACGCAAAGGCACATGCAAGACCCTGGAGGGAGGGGAAGGATGGGCCCATAAGGGAGGCTGCAGGGGCATCCATGCTGGTCACTGTTCCTGCTGATGATTGACGCAGACTGAACTGGGCAGGGCTACAATACCCGTTGGCCTGCATGTGAGTTGGATTAGGGGAAAATCAGGCTGGGTTAAGTGACCATAACCACTGGTGCAGGGGGAAGCCAGAATAAGTACAGTCTTGTCTGGCCTTGCCACAGGATCAGCTGGCAAGTGCGAGGTCTGTGGGGAGGTCCTGTCAGACTGGACCGCAGGACTATCTGGAAAGTGCAAGATCCAGGGTTGGGAGTGGGCCCAGTAGGGAAATTATGGGCAACCCCTGATGAGCTGCAGTTCCCACCGGTGAAAATAAGAACCAGATCTGGGGGTGGACCTGGTTAAACAGGCGGTAGCACCCGCTGACATGAATGTGCGCTGGATAGTGGAGGCTGCAGCATCCATTGGTGTGTCCAAAAGCAGAATGGGATGTGGCACAGACTGGATCAGTCTGCTGCACATCCCAGCAAGTGCAGGAACCGGGGCTGGGGGCAGACCTGGTAGGGATTACTGGGGGTCACTCCAACTAGGCTGCAGCTCCTGCTGGTGTACCTGAGCACTGAGAGTTTGTTGCGCAGCCTTAGGCTGGGCTTCAGTATACATTGGTTCACAGAAGATGAGAATTGACCCAGCAGCTGCAAGCACCAGTGCATGTGCGTAGGCTGACCCCAACCTAGCTGGGACACACGGGAGTCAGATCGAGGGTCACCTCTGGTGAGCTTTCTTTGGAAACCCCTTTCCAAGTGGACCACTGGACTCAGAACTCCAACCATGGAGAAGAAAACAGTATCTGTGGTCTGACCACGGAGCGCATGTGTCAGAGCCGGGTCTCCTCAGTTGCCGAAGACAGTGCAGTGGACGGCATGCCCAGGTGCAGTCCACTGGGGCCTGCGGAGGACATCTAGTACCACAGCAGAGGATGAAGGGCAGAACAAACTGGGACAGCTCTCGTGTCAGGCTTTGACAACAAGTGTCTGGGCAAACGGAGACTCTCAAGTGCACCATGCAGCCAGTGGACTTTGGAAAGGTTTCCTCATCCTTGCAGCGGTGAGACTGACAGCATCTCAGAACTACTGAAACCACTTGAGCAGAACCCTCAGAGCATGCTCCACATCGGGGACCCTGGGATGACATCGGGTGGTTATTCCCCATCCCTGGGTACTGATATGGTTATGATGCTAAGTGTGGCTTCTCCCCTTCTCTCCCCGCTTCTGCCAGACTAAGGAAGAAGAAAATTGGAGGGCCTGGCACAGTAGCCTATTGGCTAAAGTCCTTGCCTTGCAAGCGCTGGGATCCCATATGGGTGTGGGTTCTAATCCCGATGGCCCCACTTCCCATCCAGCTCCTTACTTGCAGCCTGGGAAAGCAATCCAGGACAGCCCAAAGCCTTGGGACCCTGCACCTGCGTGGGAGACCCAGAAGAGGCTGCTGGTTCCTGGCTCCAGATTGGCGCAGCACTGGCTGTTGTGGCAAGTTGGGGAGTGAATCAACAGATGGAAGATCTTCCTCTCTGTCTCTTTCTCTTTTATATCTGCCTTTCAACAAAAATAAATAAATCTTAGAAAAAAAAAAGAAAAAGAAAATTGGAAACAATGGTTTCATCCACCTTCCCCTATTCTTCGAACTTTCCCACCCTAATCAGTGATCCGCATGGGCATGCAGCCTTCTCAATGATGTAAACATCATCAAAAAAATTGTTTAAATAAAGATTGGAAGCAGTTAACTCAATCACTTTCCTCTATTCTTTCATCCTTCTCATCCTATCTGGTGATTCCCACGGACATACATCCTTCTCAACCAGGTCAATATCATCAAAAAAGAAAGGAAGCTGGGCTGGGGACCAGCTCTCCCCTCCCTCTGGGCTCCGGCCTGCCCCCTCACCAACAGGGACCAGCACCCTGGGGTGCAGGCAGCCTGACCATGACCACGACCCAGAGCAGGTGAGTGGGACGGGGGTGGGGACAAGTGTGCAGGAAAGTCACACAACATCTGTGAGGTGTGGCACCCACGGGAGGCTGATCTCTAAGTAGGTGCAAAGTCGCCAGGGCGAGGTGGGAGGTGAGAATCCTGTTCCAGGATCTTCATGGAAGTTTAAATTACCCATCAGAACATTCACCTACCAGGAGTTGTTGCTTCATGGATCCAGCCTTTCCGCTTTGGAAACGTGCCTAGAGATTCCTTTCACAACAATGCAAAGTACTGAACATTGCAGAACCGGAGCCAGTGCACTGGCGTAGCAAGCTAGTCCTCTGCCTGTGGCACCACTGTCCCATACGGGCATCAGTTTAAGTCCTGGCTGCTCCGTTTCCCATCCAGCTCCCTGCTTGTGGCCTGGGAAAGCAGCAGAGAATGGCCAAGTCTGTACCCCTGCACCTGCGAGGAAGACCCAGAAGAAGCTCCGGCTCCTGGCATGAGATCAGACAAGCTCTGGCTGTTGTGTGCTGGGGTCCACGCAGTGGATGTGGGGGGACAGGAAGGTGTGAAAAGTATTGTCCCACTGCAGACAGGGTCGCAAGGAATTTCTCCACTGTATGGCAGGGCCCGGCGGATGTCTCTACAACCACCTGAATGCAGCTCCAGGTTCCTTTGCATGGACACTGGACCAACCTGCAGAAGGACTCTAATCCATTCAGCCACTGTTTGCTACTGTGGAGTTGGCTTTTTTACTCAATGTGAGCTTGGAGGTTAATGTCAATAATAACGTCTTGCAAAAGGGCCTTCTATTATTCATACTGCCTTGGCCGTCCCCACTGACCTTATGCTAATCAAGGCATCTATATTTAGGCTTTCATTCTTTCCTTGATCTTTAGGTTCTCCTTTTCTTTGTGATACAAAATTGAGTTGTAGAATAAGAATTGTAGTAGGAACTTCTATTGTTTTTAGGTGAAACAAATGGCAGAATTATCCTTAGAAACACCCACTTGACCATGATGTAAAAAGTCTGAGCCAGAGTTTGACTGATTCTGTATAAATAAAGCGGACAGCTTTCCCGCATTGTCCATTATGATCATAAAACTGTAGTGGTCCACTTTCCTATTTACGCCTCACCCACGCACCCTTCTCGAGTTCCAAACTCGGCTAGAGCTGGACTCCGGCAGATGAAAGATCTTTCTGTCTTTCTCTCTATAAAAATCTGCCTTTCCAATGAAAATAAATACATCTTTTTTAAAAATAGGGGCGATGCGGTGGATCTGTGGCATAGCGGCTGCAGTGTGTACCTCACATGGCAGAGTGCCTGGGCTCAAGCCTCAGCTGCCCACCTCATGTGCCATCCAGGAGGTCGCAGCAGCAGCTGAGGGCCTGAGGATTTGGGTCGCTGCTACCCGTGTGCAATATGTGGGAAATCTGGATTGAATTATTGGTTTCTGGCATCTAAGAGTGAGATGGGGGAAAGAAAAATTTTAATAGTTAACATGATAGAATCTATGTTGTGTAGGTTTTGCTCCGCCCACCCAATTTAAACAAATGTGATGTCTGAAATGAAGGTAATTCATTTAAATCCATTCGAATCAAACCGTGTCAGCAATCGCCCATCTTCAGCGTACGTTGTAAGAGTTTCTGGTGTCCTCACAGGCGAATGTCTTTTTATTGCACTGTGCTCCCAGTGTCCTGAAGCCTTCATTGGCCTGGCTACCCTGTCCCTGCTCATGGTCCCT